TTGTGAGCAGATGGGCGGTCATGGCTAGCCCATGGCTGAGACGACCGGGGCGGTCTCCCCCGGGCAGGGGGGAGTTGTGACGTGGCAGCCGTGGAGGCGCCCGTCTCAAGAATCCCGTGTCGAGTTAGCGAGAATGTTTGTCGCGTGCCGTGTCGCTAACGGTTTTTCGAGACCTTGCCGAATATCGCGTTCCGTCGAATAGTTATTGTGAAAATTTAGAACAAAGCGAAGAAGCGATTTTTGCGAGCGGAGCAGATGCGAAGGTCAGCGCGTCCCGAGTTTTGTGCCCCTCGACGCCCCTTGCCGGCCACCAGGACGAGGAGCGGAGGACATCGAGGGACGAGGATGCAGCAGATGACAACCAGCGAAGCCCTTGCTCAGGTGAATCGCACTCTCGTACTTTGGTGGTTAAAATATATTATCGCGAATTATCGGGTGCTCAGCAATAGAGAATATTCTATCGCTGAGCAGCTATCGTAGTTATAACACAGTATCGCGTTTAGACGGATCAGCTGTATTTACTTGCAGCGAAGCAGCCGTCGCGAGAAACCCGGCAGGAAAAAACGGGAGATCCGGGAGAGAGAACATGCGAACTCCCGATGTCAACAGTGTCTCGAGACGAGAAGTGTCTCGAGACAATAGTACCGAAATCTGCCGATTCTCGACGATCGACGACCCCAGGACGAGGGGGGCAGCGACGAGGGAGGATCCGCGAGGATACGCGATCCTCCCAGGAAGAATCAGCTGGCAGCCTTACCGCGACCGTTGCCGCGCACAGACTTTGGGAGATTACCGTATCGATAGTGTGTGAGCGAAAGAGAGAGCAGAGAGAGAGCGAAAGAGAGAGCAGAGAGAGAGAGAGAGAGCGGAGAGCGAACTAGGGAGTGCAGTGGGAACGCGAGAGAGCGGAGCGAGGGAGAGAGAGCGGAGCGAGAGAGAGTGAGCGGAGCGAGAGAGGGAGAGCGGAACGAGAGAGAGGACCGCCACCGCTGCCGTCACCGCCGACGCCGCCGCCGACGCAAGGGCTGTCGCCGAAATT